ATACACAGGTAAAAAGGATTAAAAAATAAAATTATTTTTTTAATTTTCATTGAAAAGAAGTAAAAAAACAAAAAGGGAACAGAACATAAATTTTCCCGGTATTTTCGTTTTTTAAATAAGATTGTAAAATTTATAAATTATATTTTAAAAGGGGAAACGAATTTTAAAATTTTTTAAGAAACTCTTAAATATTTAAAATTTTAAAAATTTAAAAAGAAAAATAAACTTTTTTTAAAATGTCATTTGGGGACTCTGTAAATTTATACCTTTTTAATAGGATACCGTCTGAAACAATTATAAAAAATTTTTATATCAAGAGTCGATTGTACCAGAGATGGGAATTTTCAATCGGAACATCCTCAGCTGGCTTTAAACATAAAAACCCCGGACCAATACGGTTTAAAAAATGTTCAAAACCACTTGCTTTTAGATGTAAAACAAAAGCAGAGCGTTTAATTTTTGATAATGTATAACGAATGTATATATTTTATATACATAGGAAATTAAGGTATATTTCGGTAAAATTATGATTGAAAATATGTCTGACAATCATAACCAATTTAGAAATGCCAACTAATGTAGAAAAATTTGAAGCATTTAATCACGGACGTGATTAAATGTACTTTCGATTTCTACAGTCATAATAATAAGTATATAAATTGCATAAAGCTTCAAATATGGATTTTTACTAAATGTATTGGAATAAACAAAGTCAAAACCACCAAGCATTAAATTATTATTGGTTTACATGTCTAGTTTCTTAGCGAATGTATTTATACTATTGTGTTCGAGGTCCTTATCCAAAGAGTGGTTGAAAGGGCCGAAAAATTGCGCTTCAAGAGTCAGTTCATTTATTATTGAGCATTTTTAATATTGACTCAACTGAAAAATTTGCGTTAAAATTTAATTCATTTTAGTTATATACAACATTATTTTTAGTTTTCCAGTCAATGTAGGGAAAGTGTGTTATTGACCTTAAAAAAATGTGTTATTATATTTTTAACATGTACATGAAAAGATGAAAAAAAATAAATAAAAATTAAAAATAAAAGATTTATAATAAATTGAAAAACTCCTTTTTAAACGATCCAATAGAAGCGGACAACTGCAATATCACAGGGGAACGGCCCCCATTTCCCCGGTTAACATTTTATTTCAGGCTTTTACAGTTTCGTTAAAAATGAAACCATTGGAAAAAATTAATTTTAACCATTTATAGTACGAATTAAATTTTTATTTCCGGTTTTTAAAACTGATTTTTTCATACAGATAATTCATTTTTCAAGCGATAGGTTTAAAATTTGGTTTTGTGGGTTTTGTGTGTGTTTGTCCAAAATAAATTCTTTTTTCTAATGAATCGGAACAAATCGGCTTAAAAAGTCACTAACTTTTAATCAGGTTAATAAAATGTTATGTCAACTGTTTTGTACTGCACAGGCGAAGCCGATTTTAAAAGGCGCGACTTACGTAGGGGTGTAAATTTTGCATTTGCCTTGTTTCGGATAGCATCAAATTTTTGTATTGTTGTTTAACAATGTGACATGTCGATTGCCCTTGCGCGTGCCCAAACTTACTCTTTCATTTGCATATTATAATTTGTATTAACGAACTTCGGTGATCCTACAAACAAGTAATTTCTGTCAGTTTTTATCAGATTTACAACAAAACTATTCAATAATGTACAGAGAATCGAATGAATTTGATTGACTGGTGAATATCAAACATGAATCTTTAAAAAAACTTTTAAGAATAAGAACTTCTTGCGAAATTTTCCTGATTCGGAAAGTGACTTCGAGTCATTATTGACTTTGAGCCGGATTGTCTTCTACCGCATATAATGCTTCATTTATGTGCACAAATTATTTTAAAAAAATATAAATTTTAAATAAACTCAACGCATCAGTAAGTATACGTTAAATTAGATTTTTAAAAATTAAATTCATAAAACATCTGTTCTGTTCTGTTCTGGTTTATATGTGCACTTTTAACCATGCCCGACATTTGAAAACTTCGGAAATTTGCATTTGTGAGCTCACCTACCTTGTGTTTATTCAGTTGTAAATTTAAAACGAGGCCCATTTGTTCGACAAATTTTAATGTCATTTTTCAGCTCACCTGATCATGTCTTCAGCAACGATTTCTTTCATGTACGTATGATAGACTGTTAGGGGTAATCATTTGGGGACGCTCAAGAAACATTATATAATTGTTTAATGAACAGTATGGTCATTGAAACCTTTTAACAGCCTAAAAATAATATTTCTATCTTTAAAAATCCTTTTTCATAGAAACTGCAATGTCCAAAGATTGGATATTTTACATCGCTATAGGTTCGAATCCCTCTAGGGAACATTAAGTTATTTCGTCAATCGGAACGTTCTCGGTTATTATCTAGAAGACTGACGGAAAGGGCTGAAAAGTTGCGATTGGTGCTTTTGTGTGAGGACGCTATCAAGCTAGCTTTTTTTTTTTTTTTTTTTTTTTTTTTTTTTTTTTTTTTTTTTTTTTTTTTTTTTTTTTTTTTTTTTTTTTTTTTTTTTTTTTTTTTTTTTTTTTTTTTTTGGAAATCAATTGGGTTTAAATAAAACCCTTGTTTTTTGAAAAATAAGAGGGGGGGGGGGGGTCCCAAAAAGGGAAATTCCATATACCCTCATTTTTTTTTGGGGAAAAAAAAAAGAATGTCCTGAAAAGTACTTAGCCCCCGGGGGGTAATATAATTGCCAAATTTCAAAATTTTCCCCCCCTTTTAAAAAAATTATTGAGGGCATAGACAATCACAAACAGCCACCAACAATAAGATTCAGGAAAGGCAAATTTTCGATACCCCGGGTTTTTTCTCATTAATGTTCACAAATAATTTTAAATTTTTGGTGAAAAATTTTTATAAATTTGAAATATAAACCTTTTAAATTTCCACAAAAAAAAAATAAATAACAAGGTTTTAAAAACTTACACCATCCTTTTAATAAACTTAAATATGATTTCACGTTTTACGTACACATGTACTTAAAAGCACCGTATATAAGATGTGGACACTGCATTATTCATCCTTGAAATCACCTCATCTTTCCTGTTGCCTTCTTTCAGTAACATCGGTCTTCTATGTTGGGTTTATGCGTTTGAAGAAATTTGAAGAAAAAAAAAGGAGAAAAAAATAGACTTACTACTCTAAAAAAAACCCAAAAAACATTAATTGTTGTGTAGTACAAAAAGAGGGGAGAGGCATGGAAATCCCATGTAAGACCCTTCAACATATTTTTACGTTATCATTTTATGAAATGTCTTCATAAGTAATTAGAAATCTTTAACATTAGAATACACACCGTCCAGTAAATCTAATACCCGTTAAATGCAGCTAAACCACGATATAATATAAGTACGTGCCATCCACATACAAAACGGATTGGTTCGTTAAAAAAACAACTAATGTAGCGTCGAATATTAAGCAACAAACTTTCACTTTTGCATGTCTCAGTCTTACTGAATGAAAACAACTTAGCAGAAATTGTCAAAGCAGAGAAGCAATATAATTAATCTTGCTATACCGGGAGGTTTTTACTTTAAATCCAAAATTTACACTTATCATCAATGTTGAAAATATTTGAGATGTGTTCCGATGATATTATTTTACACAGGTTTTCATACCGCTGATTAATTTCCCGTTGAAATTATCGTTGATCAATGAGTTCTTGTTTAAAGTAATTTCAAGATGCACATATTCGATACCCTCGCATATTGTTTTTTGCACCTTTTGTCCACTTCCTGTGACAAATTGCTTTCTCATATTCAATCTTTGGCTTATGGTAGATAACCACAGAACGTTTGGAAGGATTACACTTAAAACGCCATAATGTTAAGTAGCGATAGTAAATACTGATCATTTGATATAAACCATGTTTTGAAAGAGATAGTAGGGCCAAGTCGTCTGCACCTGTAGGGCTACTCATGCATGTTCATGTTATACACGTTTGACTGTTCAAGTTAAAAGATATGGCCGTTGATGTAAAGAAGATACAGCAACGGCGAACTTTTTCCTCTCTGTCTGGTTCCCTGCTTGACATCAAACCAGTCTAACATGTATGATTTGTTTCCTTTGATTTGAGCCGAGCGACAATGTGACATCGCGACAACATGCCGCACGACAACGCGCCGTTTGGTGTGCATCGTTAGCGACACGACGACAAGACGACAGTGCCGTCGGTAGCGACAACACTAAGCACAAAAGTGTTCCAAATAAGCCACTACATTGTATATGTTAGAGTAAAGATTATTAAAGCATCTCAGTGCTATGGGGTCAATATGCCACTCATTTAATTTATATAACAATCTATCATCCCACACTCTATCAAATGCCTGTCGACAGTCTAGCTAGCTAGGCAGCATACCTTAACTTTGCTATTATTTTCTTTTGAAAAGTACATGTATGTGTTAGCGAACTTTTTGCCAAATTTTTAGGGTGCTTTTAATTTTGAACGACTCCATAAATTTGCAATTCTACTACAATTTAATAATATCAAAAGCTGACAGCTGAAAACTATAAATCTTATTCTATAGTATCATATTTCTGCATTGAAATATATATTGCTTTCTGTAAAAATGGATCTCAGGTGGGTGATTTCAGGCCAAATTGACTCTCTTGTGCATTGTATAAAACCACCAAACCTTATATTCCCTTTATATTGAAAAGCAAAAATGTTTACGTAATATATGACTTTACTTGTGTGTTTAAATTGTTTTCATTTGGGTTTTTTTAACTTAGAAAATATCAGACAATATAAAGATATTTTATAGTAGATAAAATAGTAGCAAAACTGAGCGCACTAGTCTTATGTGGATAATGGAAAGTTTTTCAGACAAAATTAAGATGACTATGGCTAGCATGTCACCGACACAACTAGCGGAATACTATTCAAACTGGGCTGAAAATATGGGATATGAAAAGGTATTTCCTAGAAAATTGTTTGTTTGTTAATTAATTAATTAATTAATTAATTAATTAATTAATTAATTAATTAATTAATTAATTATTTCATTTATTTATTTATTTATTTATTTATTTATTTATTTATTTTTATTTATTCATTAATATCAATTAGTTTATTTATTTCATCTATTTAATTTTATTAATTTATATTTATCTATTTTTTTATTTATTAATTATTATTTATTATTACATGTTTTGCAGTAGATTACTGAATTATAACGGTTAATTATATTCTGATAATTTCACAGTAATGATTACAAAATATAATTTCACAGTAGCCGAACTATGTTTGGCGTAAAAATAAAATATTTATCATTAATGAATGTTTTTTTTTTCAGCGGAAATGTAGTCAATCATGATAAAAAATGTACGTGATAACTGTAGTTCGTAAATATTTACGAACGTTGTGCTGAAAAACATCTAAAATCTAAAAATAATCTAGTCTGGTTCCCAGCTTCTATTGTAAACAAATAAAGACAAAGGGCAGGTAATCCAGACTAAAAATAATCATGGAATTATATTTTGCTTCAACATTGTGACGTCATTATTTGATGACGTCATGAAGATAAGAGCATGACGTAACGCGGCAAAAATCAGTAAAATGGTGTAAAAATCGTTAAAAAATCATGAAATAAACAGAAAATTTGTTTGTTTTAGATGTAAGATCAAATAATATTTCACTCGAGAACCCCAGCTTTTATATTTTCACTCGTGGCTACGCCACTCGTGGAAAATATTGCATCTGGTGTTCACTCGGTGAAATATTTTTCGATCTTACACTGAAACAAACAAATATCCTCTATATATTTATTTTTATCATTTTAATTTGGGGTATATTGTTTATAGTTTTGTTTTGTATTTGATAAATGAAATGATACGAACTTTTAACTTTACGTCATTTATTTCCGACGTAATCATTTTTAACACATTATACAGCATGACGTTTTAAATGCTGATGTTCTGTAAATTTGCTACTGTAATACATACAAATAATAGGCAAGAGTTATAAAACAGGGTTAATTGTATTTTTTTTTTTTTTTTTTTTTTTTTTGGATAAATCTAATTACTTTGAAAATATATTCAGTCAACAAAGAAATTAATTTCTTTTAAACAGCTGGGTCTTTCAAATTTAGAATTAAGCTCTACACTATTCAAATTCCATGTTTGTTTGATGTATAATAAAAGTTCATTAAGGTCTAGTTTTAGATTTGATAGGCATTTTTGCAAAACTAAATAAAATTTAAGAATTATTTGAAGCGTGGAAACATTAGAACATAAAAAGTTTAAACAAAATATTATTTATCTATATTTCTAGGAGATGAACGAGGGCAAGTTCCGTGCCTCTACAATAGTTGCTGACGAAATGGCGGCCTGCTTCCCTGAAAATAGAGATCAGCTACAAATAATGGACATTGCATGTGGAACTGGTCGTGTCGGGACTGCGGTAAATAATATATTAACTAATGTAGGTCATGTCGGGACTGCAATAAGAAATCTTAACTATTGTAGGTCATGTCGGGACTCCGGTATGCAATGTTAACTATCGTAAATGTTGCTGGACTGCCGTAAATAATGTTAACTATTGCAGGTCATGTCGGGACTGCTGCGGTTAGTAATGTTAACTATTGTAGGCCATGTCGGGACTGCTGCGGTTAGTAATGTTAACTATTGTAGGTCATGTCGGGACTGTTGCGGTTAGTAATGTTAACTATTGTAGGTCATGTCGGGACTGCTGCGGTAAGTGATGTTAACTATTGTAGGTCAAGTCGGGACTGGTGCGATTAGTAATATTAACTATTGAAGGTCATGTCGGGACTGCTGCGGTAAGTAATGTTTACTTTTGTAGGTCATGTCGGGACTGCTGCGGTAAGTAATGTTAACTATTGTAGTTCATGTCGGGACTGCTGCGGTAAGTAATATTTACTATTGAAGGTCATGTCGGGACTGCTGCAATAAGTTATGTTATCTGTATTTAGATGAATTATATTACATGCAGATGTTAATAATGTTATATCTATATATTTCATGTGGAATGTTACATGGCTATATAATAAATGCATGTTGGTAACACAGTAATGAAAGAAAATAAATTCTAAAGGATTAAGTTATTAAAGGTATTTCATTCGTGTAAATTGCAATGAATTTTGAATCATTCAGTGAATGCGAATTATTCTAAGCGTAATGATCACTGCATTTCGGCGTTTTATTTCCTTTGCAACTTCATGGGGGAACTTATAAATATAAAATCTATCCAAAGGTTGATATTATGTTATTATCTCACCAGAGCAGAGCGTGCTGTCAACACTTAACGTCAATTGTCCAATATCCGCCCGTCAGTCCGTACAAACCAGAGCTACATTATGGGGTTTGGTCTATTGTTCTCATAATAATAGATGTCATTCATTCCGTTTCTCTTGTGGGGTTATTTTCTGCATTGTGGTGTTAAAAAGAACAAAAGAAAACCCCATAATGTAGCTCTGGAAAGAACGTCCGTCCATTAACACTTCTTTGATCTAGATATCCTTCCAAAACTGGGTCAATAATATCAATATTAATACTTTCTAGAAATTATCCTTGAGTGATTATCCTTCAAATTCCACACAAAAAATCACTAACATGCTAAAGTTTGTTTGCCATGGCAACCGAAAGAAAAATACTTTAAAAAAAACCAAGTGAAGTATAATTTTTAAACCACAAGAAGAAAATGAATTCTATATGTATAGAAAAAAACTTGAATTTTCTGTTTTTTATATTCTTTTTCTCTTTTATGACCGTACAATTCTTAAAAAAAATAAATAATTTTGTGTATTGGCTGAATTAAGAAGAAAGTAGTCCGTCAAGTTGCCAGTGAAAATATGAAACATATGTTGCACTGCTGTGAAAAATAAATTTTTAAGGTGAAAATATGGAAACTGATGATACGCTTTTATTTTCATCTATATTTCTCAATATTTCATTTATATGTCCACTGGGATGTACTATCGTATGTTCCAGATGTCCATAATAAAAAAAATACGATACACTGTACTTATGATTTTCCTTTCGATGTGAAAAAGTAACAATTCAGGCATACAGCTTCCGTGGTTAATACCTATTTAACTTCAAAATTGTGTCTCTGTTATTAAACACACATGAATATTGTACGTAACCGGAACAAAATATTATTTGATATTTTAAGTAGGGTTTTATCCGTTTCGAAATGATTTTGTGCATGCCTCATTCGCCTTTAAAGCTATTATCTACCATGTTTATTTCATACAAGCATTTTGGAAAAAGTCAAACAATAATTTTTGCAGCAGATATATAACTTTATACACTTTAAATTACAAAAGCCATGTTTTCTTTTACAATCATTAGAGTCAAGACATATGTACTTAATTTTAATGAAATGGTTAAACCTGCACTTTTATATGGTTATGAAATTTGTGGTTTTGGAAAAAAGACATTATTGGCAGACCTTCAATTTTATTTGAAATTAATATACAAATCAAATAACGAAAACTACTTCTAGCGTAACAGTATATATTGCTGATTACCAATAAATGAAACCAGTTGAAACGAAACATAGTCATTAAATTTCATAAACAGAAATTTATACAAGTACATTAACAGATAACATCTTTAAGTGTAGACCATAAATTAAAGGAAGCTTTCTGCTTACATGTATAAAATAATTCAAATTCGAACTTAAAATGAATAACTGGCATGTAGATGGTATTTTCTTCATTCTTCTATTCAAGAAAGTCTTTAAGTTTAGTTACCAATGATACGTTGAAGATACATTCAATTTTGTTGATCCTTTTTTTGCTCTTGATGGCACTAGTATACATCACACAGAAACCTTATATGCCCGTATCCTTACCTCACGAGCTAAAACTTGCCAAAAATAACCGACATTGCATGGGGTAGTTTCAACCTTCCAATTTTCAAATCCTAACATTAATTTCAAACAGTGGCTACCATATTTTTGTAATTTATCTTCTGAAAACAGTTTGCTATTACATATGTATAGTACAATTGCAAGGCAAATTTCAATAGTAGACATATTGTCTTTCTGTTATGTATGGTGGCTGATTTGGTACACTTTGCGTGTTGCGTTGTTGATAGCGACAACACAGCCTACATTATTATCGCCTATTTGTCGTGTCGCTAGCAAAACTTGCCCGCAAGCGAAGCATGCCAAACTGCGCGTTGTCGTGCAGCGTGTTGTCGCCCTGTCGCTTGGCTTATATATATACAAATAGCAAATACTACGATTTGAGCCGAGTAATAATGTGACATCGCGGCAACACGCCGCAGGACAACGCGCTGTTTAATTGACGAGCATCGTTAGCGACAGGACGGCAAGACAAAAGTCCGACAACACGCCGTTTGGCGCTTTGTTGTACTGTTGCTAGCGACAACACGACCCAAGAAAGTGTTCCAAATCAGCCACCATAGTTTTGTAATAAATCAATTATGTTCTGCCAAACTCAACAATTTCCGCCAATATAAAGAACCTGACTTATTTTCTTCACAGCTGGCAGCGTACGGGTTTACGAACATAGACGGCCTGGATTCTTCATCAGGAATGTTAAATGTGTGCATGAAAACTGGACATTACAACAACCTTTATGAGGAATATTGTGGTTATAATACATTACCTATTCAAGATGGTACGATGTTCATTTGTAGTTTTTTATACAGGCCGTTTGAAGTCTAAATTATTTGTTACGTGATACGTGTTTATATTATAGGAACTTATTTTGCTTCTTTCCATATATGCTTAATTGGTGTCCGTGACGAGAAAATAAGGTTGTTTGGCTTAAAATGACTTTCCCCTTACCGCTATGGCTTCGAAACCCGTCAGGGACTTTGAATCCTTCCAAATAAAAAGCTTTCCAGCAAACTGGCGAAACGCCAATGGCCTACTCAGCTGCCCACTTGTGTCTCATATAATATATAGAGGGGCACCTGATGTCTTCCTTCTCCACGTGACCATTATAGTGTCCGTATGCTTTAGAATGCAACAATACAAACAAACAAACAAACATTCAATCCACATGTGTTATCATTTGATTCTAAGTCTTGTATTTGATTGTTTACTAGTATTACTGTTGGTTAACACACAGTTTTTGCAAGTCTTATTTACATTACATGTATTTTCAGGTTAGTAAGCGGGTCAGACAAGTGTTAAAAGGTGTTGTTATTATAAATATGGTGGTTGATTTGGAACACTTTGCGTGTTACTTTGTCGATAGCGACAGCACAACTTATATCGTGATCGCCTTTTTGTCTTGTCGCCAGCAAAACGCGCCAAACGGCGCGTTCTCGCACTGTCGTCTTGTCGCTAGCAAAGCAGGCCAAGCAGTGCGTGTCGACGCACAAAAAGCGTTCCAAATCAGCCACTATAGTTATTATTCAAATAACTGAATACTTGTAATTTTTGATTGAAAATAAATAACGTACCATAATATTAATTTGTCTGTAAGAAGTTGTTGTTCTTTTTTGTGTTTATCATAATAATTATTATCATCATCATTTTAAATATAGATGTATATGATTGTTTGGGTGTAGCGGGTGGAATTGGAGGGAGTCATATACCTTGCTCTGGAATAATGGAAATGATCCGAATCGTAAAACCAGGTGATTATTGCATTATAATATTATAAGATCTTTTGATTTAGGTAAGCATGTGTACACTACGGAGGAACACTTACCATTTCGCTTCTCTATTAGAAAGTTTACAAAATGTTTGGTTATCAAACTGCCAAAGCCACCGCTACTCTCCGATGAGGTTTTTTGTATTATAAGCTGTATTTGAAATAAAAAAATAACCTTAAATTGAAGCGTTTTTGTGAAAGTGATACTCTGTCCACAGTATGAAATTTAAGATGGAATATATTATTTACTTTACTAAAATTCTAAGTGATATTTATACATGTGCTAAACATGGAACTATTTTTGCAGGCGGACTTATAGTGATAGCGATGAGAAAGGAGTATGAAGAACGCGTGGGCAAGGATATAGAGGACATGGACGCGTTAATATCAACAGCGGAAAATAAAAACATGGCGGAATTAGTTGATAGGCGGGAAGTGGATAAATATTTTGTTGATAGAGACGGGATTCTCTTTAAAATACGAGCGAAATAAAAATGGTACTACTTTTGTGAATTGTCAGTGACTAGTTTTTGCATATGCATGATATATGATATATATGAATAAACGATAAAAACTTATAATTATATTGAATACGTTGGAAGAATCAGTCATTTATTGTATTTTTATAAATGTCATTTTATATGTCCTTATATATGTTATGCTTTAACAACCGTTACTTTTGTAAACAAAATTTAGAAAACGGGTTACCGCCGTATTAAGTACTGCAATATAGTTGTCCTCTATTTTTATTTTCGATTTGCCATAATCATATATGAATATCGCCATCAAACAAGTTTTTTCTTGACTATAATAATACTGTAATTATATAAGTATGGTAAAGTAAATATGTCGCAGTTCACTAATTTATTCTGGCTGTTGGTCTGTCTTTGGACTTCAGAGTAGGATATGACTGTAACTGTGCTCTGGTGAATTCAAAGTGGCTTACCTCCGTCTTCGTATGATAAACTACAAAATATTTTTTAATTTGAAACTTTTGTTCCTGAAAGTTTGTCAAGATCAGTGGAGACAACTCTTGTAACAAAACGTTATATATGCATTATGCACTTTTCATAAGTTATCACCCTTCTACACATATATCATGAACGTCTACGCAACTCGACTCCAAGAATCACTTTCGGTTCTAGCTAAATGTGGATTAAATGAATGGCCAAGCACTGACCCTTTCTGTGAAACAGGTACAACCACCTGTACCGAGCGACCAGATATCAATCTTTGTAAAAGAAACGTGCTTAAAAAAATATTATAACGCACTTTAAAAGAGTAGATGGTTAAGTTTAATTTTTTATACTTTAAATAACGACCTGGAATTTAACTCATATATTCTGCAAACATTACTGACCTTTTGGTGTTATTAGTAATACTTTAAATAACGACCTGGAATTAAACTCATATATTCTGCAAACATAACTGACCTTTTGGCGTTATTTTTTTCTTACTTACATACAGTACTGGTGGAATAACTGCAAACACCATCAATGTCCTCAGCCGAGGCCATCCGTCATCATATTTTTCGACCCCTAGCTCGGTACACTCTCAGGATGGGTGTTCCACAGTGGTGATCAATCACTGCGCATTGGTGGTGGGTTTCCAGCTACTACTGTCTCTCTTCACCCATATCCAGCAAGATGCTTTCTCTGCTGCTTGGCCCAGTTTCTTGATTGCTGCTCTTCTATTCTGACCAGTCACTCCCACTGCAGAAAACATTCTCCACACTGACTGTGCAGGGAAGCCTGTGTAGCCAACCTCAACAGGAAAGTTCCATGTCTGCCATCCTATATCTCTGCACTCTGCCAACAGTCCGTCATATTTTGCCCTCTTTCTTTCATTTGCTTTGCCACATCTCTCCTCCCAGGGAACTGTTAACTCTATGATTATTACTTTTTTTTTACTGCTTGTAGACCAAAGTACCATGTCTGGTCTTAGGTTAGTTGGTACAATATCAGGAAATTGCATCTTCTTTCCTAGATCAACTTCTAACTGCCAATCCCTTGCCTGATTTAGGATTCCTGATATGATCTTTTTACTTTCCTGGCCTACTTCACCCTCCTTCACAAACTGGATCTTCATAGGTTTGTTTCTAATTTGTTTTGCATCTTTCCTCTGTTTCTCTATCACTTCAGCGAGTTCTCGGAGTACTTGGTTGTGTCGCCATGTATATCTCCCCTGTGTAAGAGCGATATTGCACCCTGAAAGAACATGTTGTAGAGTTCCTCTGTTTCCGCACAAGGGACAATCTGGTGTTTCTGAAAGTTTCCACCTGTGCAGATTTGAAGGTGTCGGTAACACATCATACACTGATCTCAGAAGGAACTGCAGTTGGTATTGCGGATATCGCCATATATCTGACCATGTAAGGGATCGTTGTTCCAATTCTCATCTCGACCAAGCGCATTGGCTCCCTAATTCTACTGTCTTTGCTTGTCTGTTTTCTTCTTCTCTAGATTTTATCTCTCTTTGGACAAGACTTCGTCTTTCTTGGGTGTAAGCGTTCTTCCAGTAGCAACTTTTGATGTACCAAGGCCCTGTCTTCCTACTGCCACTATTCTTACGATATCTTTATGCCTCAATCTACTCTCTGCCTCTGAAACTGCTTTTGATGCTGACCATTTTCGTCCTGTTCTTACTTGGACACCTGCTGTTCTTACTTTATCATCTCTAGATTCTTTCAGTGTCATCACAAGGCGGCTTTTACTAACTTTGAATGCTTCCACTAGAGATGTAAATGGTAGCTGCAACTTTGCGGTTCTGCTGTACAGTCCTACAGTTGTAAAACTTGGAGGGACACCTAACTATTTCCTAAGATGTCTGTTGATGGTTCTTTCAAGCTTCTCAACTGTTGTCAATGTAATTTCGTACAGCATAAGTGACCATGATATCCTTGGAAGGAGTCCATGTTGGTATATCCATGCCTTTAATTTCCCTGGTAAACCTGTCTTGTCGATGTTCCTCATTCCCTCTGAAACCTGTTGTTCAATTCTCTTGATATTGTTTTTGTCACTTTAAGAGTCATCATACCATTTTCCTAAGCACTTGATGGGGTTGTCAATTATTGATGGAATGACTTCTCCTTGCACCTTCAGTTCGACTTGGTGTGCTCTCTTCCCTTTCCTTATAATTAGAGCTCAAGACTTCTTTTAGAATTCGTATATTGTCGCCGTATAAGGCAGACTTATTTTTCTGTGCTCCTTGATTTTTATTATTTTTTTGCGGATTGAAGGTGCTGAAAAGTAAAATTTTGTGACAAATTGTAAATGAATGATTTGTTGATTTTTATGTGTATTTAACTAGACACAATAACACTTTTTAAATTGTTTATGATGGGTGAAAGTTACAGATATTTGAAAAATATACATATTTCCGACATGATTGAAATCAATAACCAGCCAACCATAAATCAAAAGTACAGGTATTGTCGTGACCAGCTATTGAAAATAGGATTAACGGTTCCGAGTAATTGGCAACTTCATAAATTAGACCATTGTGTACACGGTGTTATACATAAGCTGAACATCTCTCAACCCAAAACACACAAAATGAGCAAACGTGGTGGTAAAGCTAAAATCCTGACTAAGCCTTCTTGTGCAAACCTACACAATTTGAAATATCCCTTAATACAAAACACGCGTGTTCAAATTGGTGAAAAAGTGTCATGTTTTACATTTAACTGTAGATCTGTTGTTAACAAGGATAATTTTGCTGGCCAGTATTTGAGGGAACAAAGAATTGACTTTGCTTTGTTGACTGAAACATGGTATTCTGACGAAAAACAACATCAGTATGAAACATCTGAACTCAATCAACACGGTCACAAAATCAGTGTTGCAAACCGCAAGAACAAAATTGGTGGCGGTGTTGCTTTGACTTGTAAAACCGAAATTAAAATGAGAAAGATGGAACATGGGAACAAACAAAGTTTTGAGTTTGGCATATGGAAACTCATTTTCAAAAGTATAACAGTACACGTAGTTGGTTTATACAGACCCCCATCCCTAGCCACATGTGAGCAATTTGTAACTGACTTTTCAAATTTCATAGAAGATATCTTACCTACATACTCTAACTTGTTGATTATGGGAGACTTCAACCTTCAACTTGACAATGGTAGTGGTGCATCTACAAACTTTCAAAATTGCCTTCATGCTATGGGTTTAGAGCAACATGTCAACTTTAGTACACACACTGCTGGAAACTGTTTAGACTTGGTTATTACTGAATCGATTAATGGTGTATGTGTACTTAAATGTGAACAAGGACCTTTTCTCTCCGATCACTGTGCTGTCCACGTAGTCATTAATGTGAAGAAAGAAAAAACATTACCAGTAAAACTGTACAATTTAGAAACTGGAAAAGCATATCCCATTCTGAATTCTATGATGATTTAACGAAGATTTCAGTTGATAGTGAAGATGTCAATACTTTTGTACACTTGTTTGAATCAGAAATCCAATTTGTTATCGACAAACATGCTCCAACAAAGGAACAAATTAGGATATGCAGAACTCAAAAACCTTGGTTCAATGAGTCAATATTGGAATCTAAGCGTATTGTCCGGAAAAAAAGAGAGAATTTGGAGAAAGTACAAAGAGCCAGAACAGTTCAAGAAATTTAAAGAAGCACGGAATAGATACTGTAAAGAAATTGATTTTGAGAAAAAACTAGTAACAAGTGAGAGAATTCTAAATACCAAAGGTGATTCAAAAAAACTCTATGGTTTAATTTCGGAATTAACTGGTACTAAAGCTGAAAATCCTATGCCACAGTCTACAAATGACGGTGAGCTAGCTCGGAAGTTTGCAAACTTTTTTATGAACAAAATAGCTAAAATTCGTAAATCACTTCAGGATTTTCCAAGCTTCATTCCAAATGTCAAACAAATTCAACCTTTAGAAAATTTCGAGGATCTTACAGAATCACAGGTGAAGAGCCTTATTTGTGAACTAAATACCAAATCGTGTGAGCTGGACTTAATACCCACACATATATTAAAGACACATCTAGATGAGCTTCTGCCAACCATTACCAAACTGGTCAATCTATCTCTGTCTAAAGGCGTATTTCCAACACACTGGAAACAGGCGATCGTTAGACCCCTTCTTAAGAAGTCTGGTTTAGAATTACAATTGTCAAACTACAGGCCTGTCAGTAACTTATCGTTTCTTTCAAAATTGAAAGAAAAGGCTGCGCTCTTCAGAATAAATAACTATGTCGATACAAATAATTTGTTACCCAAAAATCAATCAGCATACAGGCGTCATCATTCATGTGAGACTGCTTTACTCAGACTTGTCAATGATCTTCTAGACGGTATGGAGAAGCAAGAGGTCACAGCTCTAATTGCAATAGATGTAAGTGCAGCTTTCGACACCGTTGACCACAACATTCTACTCGACGTGTTACACAGTCAGTACGGTGTCAATGGTACCGTGTTAGCTTGGGTGGACTCGTACCTGCGACCTCGTAGTTGTCGCGTCAGTGTTAATTCTACTGAATCGACTCCACGATTGCTGGAATGCAGTGTACCCCAGGGGAGCTGTCTTGGTCCGTGGCTCTGTTTCACATATGCAGGAACCCTATTTGATGTGATACCACCATCCATATCTGTGTACGGCTTTGCTGATGACCACATTGCTAGTCAACGCTTTCGACCAACTTCAGTGACCAATGAACTTAACGCTATAAAGCAACTTGAAGACAGTGCTGTAATCATCAATGACTGGATGAATGCCAATAAACTCAAAATGAACACCACTAAGACAGAATTCATAATGTTTGGTAGTAAAACCCAACTTGGTAAAAATGTTCAATTAAAGAAATTGATATCGCCGGTGATAAAATTCAAAATGTCAGTGTCATAAGATACTTAGGTGCCTACTTAGACGAGGGCCTAAGATTCTCAACACATGTTAAGACCAAGTGTAGAACTGCTATGTTAAATTATTTGAGAATAAAGAGCATTCGCAAATATCTGACTCAGGACGCCACAAAAATCCTAGTATTGTCGCTTGTAATCTCACATTTGGATTATTGCAACGCTATATTGTTTGGCATTTCAGAAAGTGAGTTACAGAAATTACAGCGTATCCAGAATATGTGCGCTAAACTTGTTTTGCAACGCGGAAAATATGATAGTTCCAAAGACTCTTTGTTGGAACTGCATTGGTTACCAATTAAAGCTAGGATCAATTTTAAAATACTATGTACAATGTATAACTGTTTTATTGGCAATGCTCCAGTTTATCTAACAGAACTGTTACACAAGCCTGTCATAAAAAGACCAAATCTCAGATCTGTTGATAATATGGATTATTGTTTTGCTGTCCCCTTTAACAAAAGGAAAACATTTAACGACAGAAGTTTTAGTACCGTTGGTCCAACTCTGGAATAAATTGCCTCTGTATATAAGACAGTCTTCGACTTTGGACATGTTCAAGAAAAATGTCAAAACCTACTATTTTAGAGATTTTTAAGCATTGTTTTAAGATTGTGATTGGGCTGTAAACTGATAGAGATGTGGAAATGTGTTTGAAATTTTACTGAAATAACCATTCATTTTTATTTTCTTTTAAATTATTTTTTATTGTTACTTTTTATAACTATTCTTTCTTTTTTTAAAGTTTTTAATACTTTATATTTTACACGGCTGATATCTTTAACATATTTTTTGTAGTTCATTTGCCATGTTGTTCTTTTATCTATATGTACATACTTTTATTATCCTTTTGTACAACGCCATTGAATATGTATATAGAAATAGGCATTTAATTAAATAGAACAGTTTCAGTTTCAGTTTCTTTGGCTTGAAAGACATCCTTGCCCATGTTACTGTCTCTTCCAAGGCCTTTAATACCCATCTAACCTGGACATGGGTTACTGTAGTGATGGTTAAATCGTCCATGAACCCTCTGTTTGGTGGTTGCCTGATGTCAGTTGATGTTTTTGGGCTTCTAGTTTCTCTCTCTCCAGATTTAATAATCATATTCATTCCCATGACAAACAAGATAACTGAGATGGTACATCCTGTAACTATTCCTTTTTGTAGTTTCTGCCATGATGTTGTAAATGTGCTTGTTGTAAATCGCAGCTGAATCCCACTGAGATAACTTCTTATCACTTTCTTAAAGTGGTCGGGAATATGGTAATGATCTAATGACTCCTGTATCAGCATGTGAGGAACAGTGCCATAAGCATTGGCCAAATCTAGCCATACTACTGTAAGATCTTTCTTGTTCACTTTGGCCTCCTGAATAAGTTGTGAAATGATGCACGTATGTTAAATACATCCTGAGAATCCTGGTATTCCGCCCTTCTGTACTGAAGTGTCTACATAGTTGTTATCTGTCATATATGATGTCATCCTTCTAGCCATAATAGAAAAAAAGATCTTTCCTTATACATTGAGGAGGGAAATTGTCCGAAATTGTGTGATGTCCTCAGATTTTTCTTCTTTTGGAATAAAACACCTCTCTGCTTTCTGCCAACATGATGGGATCTTCCCTTTCCTCCAAACTACTTTCAGTAGCCTCCACAGGTGTTTCAAATTTTTTGGGCACTTCTTATATACCTTGTACGGGATGCCGTTTGGTCTTGGTGATGATGCAGACCTGGCTTTCTTCACTACATCTGACACTTCTTTCCATGATGGTTCCTTAGTGTTCATTGGTATTTCTGGTTCTGGTACTTTTTCTATCCTATCACAGTTACCTAGATGTTCCCACTGCATTTCGTCGCTGTGTGTCTCTGATAGATGTTTTTCCACTTCCTCTTTTGTGTTTTTTACTGATCCCACCTTTGTTCCGTCCAGTGTTGATATGGTAAACTTTTAGGGGTTGGCAACAAACATTGCTCTCTTCTTCCCTCTTTCTCTCCTTGCTTTTCTGATTCTTTCTGCTCTTTGTAGATTGTTTCTTCTTTCCCTCAGTATTAATCTTAACTCATTCAATCCTTCTTTATCCTCGTCATTTGCTCTTCTATACTGCTTTGATACATCATTGATTTCGGTTCTGAGTGTTTGCATTTCTTGTTGACGTCTGTTATGCTTCATGTTACCCTGAGTGCCTTCTCTGGTTTTGGTCTTACTTACTCCAAATCGATCTTGTCCTACTGCATATACAATAGTTGACAATGCCGATATCTTTCTCTGTACGTCTCCAGTTAGTGTGTTATCCAAGATCTTGTCTAGGTCTTCGTCAAAGATCTCCCATCTCCTATCATCTGTTGGTGGCCATTGTATCTTTTCTTTCCTGCTCTCTGTTGAAGAAGTCGATGCTCTCTGCTGATTTTGATTCCATTTCTCCTCCTCAATGTTGATCTGAGTAGCTTCATTAGGTAAGAGGTCCTCAGTACTGTGGTGTGCTTCCTGGCTGTGGTCCTCCATCGTCTCATCAGTGTTAACTGTGCGTTCCCTTTGCTGCTTCCCAGATCCACACTTAGTTCTTGCCTGGTGTATCTTCAGACCTTTTAAGTTCTTGCAAACTTTCCCACAATGACACTTGGTTTCTGCCGTTGTTCCAGTCAAAGTCCGTTGGATTAGCCGAGTTGTTACCGTTTTATCCTGCTCAATGGGTCTCTCATCCTCCCCCCCTCTCGGAAGACCCTGGGGGTATTGCTCTTTATTCTGTTCTGTAGCTTGGTATGGTGTTCCTTCACAGGAACCGTGTGTTGGGATGCCAACCCTTCACACCCTGGTTTCAGTCTTTCCCGAATGCCATCTGTCTCTCCAGACGTCACCATTCTATTCTTGGTTGTCAGCCGGTCTTTCCCAGCAGTCACTGGTAGGTCCAGATTACAAGTTACTTACATACAGTACTGGTGGAATAACTGCAAACACCATCAATGTCCTCAGCCGAGGCCATCCGTCATCATGTGTTTCGACCCCTAGCTCGGTACACTCTCAGGATGGGGGGTCCACAGTGGTGATCAATCACTGCGCATTGGTGGTGGGTTTCCAGCTACTACTGTCTCTCTTCATCCATATCCAGCAAGATGCTTTCTCTGCTGCTTGGCCCATTTTCTTGATTGCTGCTCTTCTATTCTGGCCAGTCACTCCCACTGCAGAAAACATTCTCCACACTGACTGTGCAGGGAAGTCTCTGCAGCCAACCTCAACAGGAAAGTTCCATGTCTGCCATCCTATATCTCTGCACTCTGCCAACAGTCCGTCATATTTTGCCCTCTTTCTTTCATTTGCTTTGCCACATCTCTCCTCCCAGGGAACTGTTAACTCTATGATTATTACCTTTTTACTGCTTGTAGACCAAAGTACCATGTCTGGTCTTAGGTTAGTTGGTACAATATCAGGAAATTGCATCTTCTTTCCTAGATCAACTTCTAACTGCCAATAATCCCTTGCCTGATTTAGGATTCCTGATATGATATTTTTACTTTCCTGGCCTACTTCACCCTCCTTCACAAACTGGATCTTCATAGGTTTGTTTCTAATATGTTTTGCATCTTTCCTCTGTTTCTCTATCACTTCAGCGAGTTCTCGGAGTACTTGGTTGTGTCGCCATGTATATCTCCCCTGTGTAAGAGCGATATTGCACCCTGAAAGAACATGTTGTAGAGTTCCTCTGTTTCCGCACAAGGGACAGTCTGGTGTTTCTGAAAGTTTCCACCTGTGCAGATTTGAAGGTGTCGGTAATACATCATACACTGATCTCAGAAGGAACTGCAGTTGGTATTGCGGATATCGCCATATATCTGACCATGTAAGGGATAGTTGTTCCAATTCCCATCTCGACCAAGCGCCTTGGCTCCCTAATTCTACTGTCTTTGCTTGTCTGTTTTCTTCTTCTCTAGATTTTATCTCTCTTTGGACAAGACTTCGTCTTTCTTGGGTGTTAGCGTTCTTCCAGTAGCAACTTTTTGATGTACCAAGGCCCTGTCGTCCTACTGCCACTGTTCCTACGATATCTTTATGCCTCAGTCTACTCTCTGCCTCTGAAACTGCTTTTGATGCTGACCATTTTCGTCCTGTTCTTACTTGGACACCTGCTGTTCTTACTTTATCATCTCTAGATTCTTTCAGTGTCATCACAAGGCGGCTTTTACTAACTTTGAATTCTTCCACTAGAGATGTAAATGGTAGCTGCAACTTTGCGGTTCTGCTGTACAGTCCTACAGTTTGTAAAACTTGGAGGGACACCTAACCATTTCCTAAGATGTCTGTTGATGGTTCTTTCAAGCTTCTCAACTGTTGTCAATGTAATTTCGTACAGCATAAGTGGCCATGATATCCTTGGATGGAGTCCATGTTGGTATATACATGCCTTTAATTTCCCTGGTAAACCTGTCTTGTCAATGTTCCTCATTCCCTCTGAAACCTGTTGTTCAATTCTCTTGATATTGTTTTTGTTACTTAAAGAGTCATCATACCATGTTCCTAAGCACTTGATGGGATTGTCAATTATTGATGGAATGACTTCTCCTTGCACCTTTAGTTCGAATTGTGTGCTCTCTTCCCTTTCCTTATAATTAGAGCTCTAGACTTCTTTGGCTTGAAAGACATCCTTGCCCATGTTACTGTCTCTTCCAAGGCCTTTAATACCCCTCTAGCCTGGACATGGGTTTCTGTAGTTATTGGTAAAACTTTAAATAACGACCTGGAATTTAACTCATACACTGAAAAATTTAACTCATACGTATTTAGTATTTTTTATTTTTTTTATGCAACGTACATGTAGCATATTCCACCAGTACAGGAATATATTGGATATCCGTCGTCACATGCGCCGGCATTACGGACGGACGTCTGTCTGACCGGTTGTCATCGTCTACAGACCCTCTTTCTCTTCCACAGAGCGTTTGTGCCATTTAAAAAAACCAGCCTTCGTGACACTGAACTTGTCCCGCTTGCCCTTTTAAGTTCTGTGTAGGTATTTGTTGGTGTTTTACCAAAATTTGCATCAAATTTAATGATCGTACGTATTTCCAGACATTTAGCGACCGACATTTTCACGAAATTACAGTATTGACGACCACACACAAATGTTTGTTTACGACTGTTGCTATAGGGCAAATGACTCCATATTTTCTAGTGACGTTAGGAATATGTACACACACTTTTCCCTGAATTTTAACGTTAATATGTAGTGTTTAAAGAATACCGTGATGCATCAAAGTAATGAACTAACCCATTTTTTTGTTGTGCGCCGGTATTACGTTACCAAGGTAACTGTATGATGATACGTTTTCAGGGCATGCCGGTTACATGTTAATTTCTTTTGTTTTCTTATTAAAGATATATTTCCCCTTCAAGTGATATATGATTAATGTTTTTCTATCAATAACTCACACGACAATAACTGCAGTGCACGAATTTTTTGGACAACCCTCGTACAAGTACGAGATATTCATTCACCTTTATGGACTTGACTTATCATTGACTGTAAGGCATATAAAATACAGATTTTATAGAGGAGAGATGCATGGATCATCAGACATCCAATCGTGTCTGTAAAACGATGATATGCTACCATACTAATCTTTCATGTTTTAAAGAAATACACCCTTATTGCACAAGCATTAGTCGCTGATTATTTGATATACAACTTATTGTTCCTGTTTTTTAAGAAATACACTGTTTCTGCATATGCATAAATTAGCCCTTGCTATTCGACTCTAATCTTCACCAATTGAATGAAAATGTGTTATGTTCATCAGATATTTTAATTGATCTGATATCAGCATAAATAATGCTATCTTCGTATAAAGTTATCCATCCTTTCTTTTATTGTTCCTTTCATTGAATGCTTTCTGTTTTCCGATTATGAAAAGAGTTGGCTGCATGTCAGTATATAATCTAAGCTCTACATCTGTTTGCGATCAAGTATTGCTAGAAAACTGTATATAAGTATGTAATTGAAGTATTGCTAGAAACATATATATATATTAGTATAGAATAAAACTAGTGCTTTAAATATAGGTATATATGAATGTAATGAAAGTATTGCTAGAAACATCCGTATATTAGAATGTAATGAAAGTATTGCTATAAATTTATGTATATTAGAATGTAATGAAAGTATTGTTATAAATTTATGTATATTAGAATGTAATGAAAGTATTGCTATAAATTTATGTTTATTAGAATGTAATGAAAGTATTGCTTTAAATTTATGTATATTAGAATGTAATGAAATTATTACCAAAAACATGTATATAAGAATATAATGAAAGTATTGCTATAAACAACTTTATATTTGAATGTAATGAAAGTATTGCTATAAATTTATGTATATTAGAATATAATGAAAGTATTGCTAAAGTGTGCATATGTAACTTGGCCTGCTAGAGATATGAACAATGCTGGTGTATGAATTCTAATGGTCTGAGGTCATACTATGTAACAGAAGTATTATTTTTGCAATAAACAACGTTTATTCATTGTGGCTCTATTATTTTTCATCTGCAGGTAAGGCTTTTGTTGGAAAAAATACAAATATATAACTTAAACAATCAACATTGATTATATTCAAAATTTTAATTGATTTTTTTGCACAAATTTACACAATGTACTATAAAGTGAACATTTTTTTTTACATATATCCAACACACATCCCCATTGTCCAGTTAAAAAATAAGTCCGGACAAACTTATGCTTCATGTTTTACTTGACAACAAATTTTACATAAACCCATGCAGCATAAAAAACATGCTCATGAAACAATGTCATTTCTTAAAATGCTTTGTTCTGATATACATGTACCTCATCAAGAAAATAACACCTAATTTTATTACAATTATCAAATTTAAAGTGGCATGTCTCCAGATTTCTGCTTTTCATTAAAATTTTTTAAAATGTATTAAAAAGTAAAATATTGTGAAGATAATAAAGAAAATTATATTACACACTGCAAATGGCACTTACAACCAATGTATATTACCAAAAAAAAAAAGACCAAAATATGCAATAATAGCTATCTAAATATGGTGAAAAATACTACAAAATCGGTCATTTATCGCAAATAACTTGGAAATCATTAAAATTATTTTGAATCTTTTTACTTATCTCACAATAATGGTACATTTTTCTAAAGATCAATTATCTTACAATTTTTTCTCATCTAGAGTAATGCGGCTTTAACTAGTGAAATTTTACACATTGGTTTACAATAGTCCAAGAGCCTTAAATAAATTGTATATCATAATGATATTAAATTAATAACATTTGGTGCATTAGCATTCAATTAACATAAACAAAATACATGTATTGTAATGAACTAAAAATTAACTTGTATATCCTGTGCTCATAGAGCAAATGTTTTAAATACTTTAGAACATTTTGGGCTATTATTACTTGATAAGATTTTAAATGCTGGGGCATTTTAAACTATCACTTTTAAAATTTAACTTTATTTGAAATTATAGAAGAAAACTTTTAAAACATGTTTAAAGGGACTCCACTGAGTTTTTTTTTTTAGATTGATGTAAAAACAGTTCCATTTGATGTAGGTCTACACAAGTAACTTGAGAGCAAAATTTCAGCTAATTAGCTCCCTCTGTTTTTCCAGAATAATTTTTTTTTATTGGCTGAGAATAGCACATGCTGAATTTATATTTGAGTTCTTCTTAATTATCTATTGTATATCCTTTCGTTTTAAGTACCCCAGCAGATCCAAAAACAAAATTAAAATTTTATGTTCTTAAGATTTTGGACCCGAGTGGAGTTCCTTTAAACCACATTCTTAACTGATGTCTAACTGGTTAAGTCAACATTCATTCTCTCAAGTATTGTTATCCAAAAGTTTACACTGGCAAATCTCAAAGTTATCTTATATATCAAAACACAGATAGGCAAAATACCACAGCAGAATATTAAGAAAACAATAAACAGATTAGCTTTAAAATTTTAACTACTTCTGCACACTGGTATCCTCCCATATTCACAAGACTTCAACATTCAAGTAAATGTTCAGTAAAAATAATCATATGCTGTAAATACTTGTGAATATCAACAAAAACATTCAATTCTATTAACTGGCACATCTGAACGTCTAATACTAAACAGTGTAGCCAGCATTTATAATACATGTCCAGATAGAGGATTAATATTGTGATTTTTTAGAAAAAAGTTAAGGTTACAATATATTGATTAGTTTTAAGATATAATTACATCTTGTGATTTTAATACTTGTAAGACCTTTATTAAAGAAACCAACCAAAATATCAGTGCAAAGTTCTTGTTATATATATTTTACCTATGTCAAGTTCCGTTAACAGCAAAGTTTTTATATTGTAATGTTTTGATCTAATAATGGATAAAAAAATATTTGACGATGAATTCATGTGCAACATAAAGATCAAATTTTTTCAAGGGTTTTTATATCATATGTATAATGCTCAAATGAAGATTTATCAATATTGTAAATTCCAAAAATGCATAATTTGTAAAGATATTACAGAATTTACATGTCATGTTAATAAAGGGAGGTAATTAGACATGTATTTTCTATAAATTCTTTGCCAAATTTTTCAGTAAGAAATGAATGCATACATTTTAATGGTTATTTATAATCTGAATAAACATATGCAGTACATATTTAACATTTTCTTGGATGTTTGGAAATTGTTTTAGAAGAATAATTATATACATACATAAACTTTCACTTAAGTGTTGTTACATCCTTAATAACAACATACAGGATCTTTAAATGATAACAAATATATTTACAGACCAAATCCACCAGATTTCACTATAATACATTCCAGAAGAATAGTTCTTGTTTTCAGTAAAATTAATTCTTACTGCAGCGGCAGCACCTTCCTGTATATATACAGGCTGGTAAATGAAACATTTGCCCCCTGGACATTTGACAACCCCCCCCCCCCCCCCCCGCCTTTTTTGATAAGGTCTGTATTGTACGGTTTGACAATATCACACAGTCTGTTTTGGAGCCATAAATATTTGCCTTGCTTCTTCTTATGTATCACCCCCATGACATAAGTAAGTAACAAATAAAATTCACTTTAGTGAAAAGCCCCGCATAAAAAAATAAACAAAAAATTCAGGGTTTTCTATGCAAAGAAAGAAAAAAAGAGAAAAAAAAGAAGAATTAGATTTTGAATAATCTTGTTCCATGAATAAATGTTCAAATTTTCAAATTGATAAAAAACAACAACAAAAATTTCAAGAGACATTGCAACTTAAGTCAGAATAATTTTATAACATGTAATAATAAAATCAACAAGTTATAAATAACTTAAAGTATGGTGAGTCATTAATGCGATGCACACTGTACACGTTGTCCTCCCATACCCTCCTCGTCCTCGTCGTAAGCCTCGCCACGACGATGCTGCGCCCTCGCGTCGTATTCTACCAGCGTGTGTTCCTCGGCTCCGTCTGGAATTAATTACTTCTTGACGTTTTGGTAAACATGACTCGAGCTCGGCTAGTTTTTTATGTTGTATAGATCCCGCATCAGGAAATATTACGTTGAATTTGATAATCAAACGTCCTCGTGTAAATGGGTCGCGATGTAAAGGCATTCCTTCATTCAAAACACATTTGATGTCATTTGGCTTAACAACTTCACCTGCAGACAGAATAAAAATTTATATATATGTATATATACATTAGTTTAAATTTCCTTCTTTAGACAGTCTTGTTTAAAATTTGATGTATCAAAATCACATTGGCATATAGTGTTTGCCACAAATGTACGTAATCTTACAAAGAAGCCATGCGTTGTTTTTTTTTAAAGCATAAAATGTCAGCAAATCTGAATTTTTACTTAAAATAATTTTGTCCTATCATCAAAAACATTCCTTAATTTGAAATTTAAGAAGAAAATCTAGGGGGAAATTTCACAGGCTAAACATTTCGGACAACCTACAAAGCAACAATGATAACTGATTTTTCTGCCCCTACATTTGCCAACATATTGCCACTACTAATCAAAGTGCGGAGTGGATCTCCACTGAAGTAAGGCTCCCACGTTTACAATTTTTTGTAAACGTTTACACGATTGCTAAGAACCGAAACGATACCGTTTACACGATGGTACCTCTATATACTGTACACACCATGTATTTGAGTCGCCAAATGATGTCTTTCTTTCTATTTTTAATACATGTACAAATAAAGAATGTGCAGGGCTCATCACGATTGAGTCAGCACATATTTTCTGCATTGAAACCCAATTTATTACCAAAAAATGTATTATGTTACAAGCAATTTTGCACATTAATGGTGTGTGGAGGATTCTAAACACCCATTTTCCGTTTCTTACTTTGGAATAAACCACTAGAATTGATAAAATCCATGATTACAGGCAATGATTAAGAAATTTTGTAAGACAATATGGTCATTTCGATAAAACAGTAAAAAATATCGTAAACGTTTATTAATGAAAATCGAAACGAATCCATTTAAACGTGTAATCATGGGGGCCTTACACTGAAGTGATCTTTCTTTTATATATCAAGATTATAGGAGAACCTATGAGAAACTGTAAGTAGTTTATCACACACCCGTGCCGATTTTGCGACTGTAAAAATGGTAATGCACAGCTGTGCATATATTTTGACATTGCAAATAAATGTTTCACTGAAATTTTGTTTTCTGCAAGGATGAAAATTCTCAAAGAGTTTTGTATTTTTCCAAAATGTTGTACCATTAATTGCGTGTCAAGATTTTATATCTAAATTTCCTCACCTGGCAAGTTTGTTATAACCAACGTTCTTTTATCCAATGTTTCTATAGTTTTCTGGAAACCACACAGTGCCTCGACTAACAATAAGTCCATCTCCATAATCAAGTCAAGCCCATTACGTCTGAATGTATTGTGCTCCTTTTCATCCAATACAATGATAATATCTCCGGGTTCGAGACCCGGCTCTTGGTCCCCTTCTCCAGCAAATCGGATATTTTCACCATCTTTCATACCTGTAATACACATATAAATTTTGTTTCATTAAAGAAGACACGCACACCAAGTTCTGTTATTAGAATTGAACAGCGATGTTTGTTTGCTGGGTTTTCCTTCAAGCTTTCTTTCTGTGTCCCAGACCAAAGTATTGATCCTAGAACAACCATTTTACAGCAGTTAGTGCATCTCAAGGGCCAAACACCCTCAAAATCAACTTATCATTTTAGAATTTCCCTTTCTATATGGTTATATGCTTACTTTAAATTTTAATATCAAATATAATTCATGCTCTTTTTTTATTCAAGTTACGCAATAAACAAGATATACAGTTTATCTCTTAAGATGTCTGTCCTTGAAAAAAAAGCCTACAACTTAAAAGAATGAACAATTCATAATAGACTTCAGTTGCTATAGTTCGTTATCACAACCCCTTAGGATCTTCAAAAGACTCCAAATTTCTTAAACATGTGGGCCCACAAGCTTCATGACACTACTCGAACCTCTAGCTCCTGTGAGGCAAGTGATCTGAAATTAGTTATGCCTTCATTTATAGAAAAGTATAAAAATCCCAGGTGGGAGGATGAAAGGTCAGAGGTTAAATATTAGTGGCCTTAACCAAATAGGTTTTTTGTTGTTTAATTGGGTCTGACGTCACACCGACACATTATAGGTCATATTTTGTTTGTTTGTTTGAGTTTTACGCCATACCGACACATTATTGGTCATATGGTGACATTCCTGCTTTACTGGTGGAGGAAGACCTCAGGTGCCCTTCTGTGCATTATTTTAGGCACGAACGGGCACCTGAGTAGAACCAACTACATTTTGTAAGCTAGCTGGATAGCTTCATTCAGTCTCTGTCGGGATTCGAACCAACAGCGGTGGTGGTTCGCCAAATAGGTACATAAGCAATATGCATGTACAGTAAACATATTTATATTCATATAAAATTACAAGTTTACCTTTGTCAACATGGACTTCTAATATTTTGTGGTCATCAACAGTCTTCTTGCCAAGACAAGTCTTGCATCTTAGTTTCGGATTTATTGTCTCCCCTTTGCCTGAACATTCCGAGCAAACAGACTGCATTTGTTGTACCATGCCGGGACCCAGCTGTCTTATATGTACCTGCATACCGGTTCCCTTACAGTTTCCACATTTTTCTACAGCTCCTTCTTTCCCACCCTTACCTTTATTTTTGGAGAGAAAAATGTGAAACATGAAACATGTGAAAACAACATAAAGCTTACCAGCAAAGTTGCATTCAAAATGAGTTTTTTTAAAAAAGGAAATACTGATATAAAGACTAAAAGAATCCAAGTTTAATAAACACCTCTAGACTGAAAATCAAGTCTGTTCAGCATAATGCCCGCAAAATTCATCAATAGTGAAACTCCATTATCTTCATGTACATTGCCCAAATATTCAAAACAGGAGAGTGGCTACATTACACATAAACTGAACAAACTAAACTGATGACTGCACTTCAAAAAGGTACTGTATATTTCATTGCAAGTCTATTATTCAATGAGGACATATAGTTCCACAATTAGCAATTAACATCAACCAATTTCTTTCAAAAACAAACATTAACTGAATACAAACCTTCACATTTCGCACAGATAACTTTTTTCTTTAAGGACAATTTTCTAGTTGTGCCATTGTATAAGTCTTCTAAAGATACTTTAAGTTGGTGTATAACATCCTTGCCCTTCTGTGGGCCTCGCGACCTTCCGCGACCCCCACCACCAAAAAACATGTCAAATATATCCATAGGTGAATGAAAGTCAAAGCCACTGCCAGTTCCGCCACCTGAAAACAAATAGATAAAAAATGTCAAATTTTAGTGTATTAGACTGAGTTTAAACATTATCCTGTTGATAATTCTTATATATAAGACTTTGCCCAGGCTCTCTTAAAGACATATTATGCTTTTTCTTTCTTTAGAAAGGACCACTCACAAAAGTTGAATTGGTTCCATAATTATATGGTTGATTCCCTAAAAAGTTGTAACATAGAATGTCTCTGTTCTTTAACACACAATGAATGTAAACAGAATAAAATGTTCCAGAACAAAATATTATTTGGCTATTTTAATTAGGGTCAATGACTTTGTGTATAAGCCACTCGCTTTAAGGCAATTTATTGCCATTTCTATTTCATACAAGCATTTTGGAAATATTCCTTTTTAAAATCCAAACAATAATTTTTGCATCAGAGACATATATATATATATTTATAAGGATAGCTTTATATGTACTTTAAAGGCACAATATGCCTTACTAACAAGTAACTTTTTCTTTCTTCATAAAAGGGCACCGCAGACAGAAGTTAAAAGTTGTATAATGTAAAAACAAAAATTGTTTTAGAGCATGTAACATGCTTATTGTTTGATTAAAGTGGTGCTAAATATAAAATCATTCGTAACAATAGTAACAAAATGTAAACAATAGTAGTATTTTAACTATATTGATACTCATTGCTAAAAACCAAGAGATGCAAAAGATAATTTTCAACCACACCTTTTTTAAGTTTAAGAACTGTCCATTAAAACTTTACAGGGATTAAATAGAACACAAACACTGAGACGCCAACAGTATAGACTGGTGTTCAGACTGGTCCACACCCTATCCCAGTGGCAAAGGCTAATATCACTTTTGGTTTTGGATTAAAAAATGCACTGAAATCTTGGGAAAATTATGATAATTTATCAGGCATTGAAATATATCTTCAGAGGCGCTCCTTGACAAGCAGTACAAGTAGCTTCTATATCCAATGTGGAGGCAACTTGTCCTGCATCGAGTTCTTTAAATTCTACTTGTACAAGCGGAATTTTTTACATCTGTTTATGCTTTAATTTATATCTCCCAAAACACAACACTCTAGTGACTGGCTGAATTAGATTTAAAAATGATATGTTAACTTACCTTTAATGGCTTCCTCCCCACCTTTGTCATATGTTTCTCTTTTCTTTACATCAGACAAGACTTCATACGCTTGACTTATATGTTTGAACTGAAAAAAAACACATAATATATTTTAATAAAGTAACTACATTTTAAACAGGAAAAAATTTAAAAGAATAACATATTGAATATAATTATGACTTTTTCTAGCAAAAAAATTGCTCAATTTTAGGGTAAATATACATGTTAATTTTTTCCAAAAAGGGGAATACATGAAAAATTGATTTTCAGGGGAAAAACTGCTTGATGTTATTATTTTTCCTGTAGGAAAGACACCTAATAAATGGCCCCTGCCATGAAAGGAGAGAAACACCAAGTTTGATAATTTGAGTAAGTGTTGATAGAAACTAGGGAATTAAATTTGTTATTTATTCATTTTTTTATCCATGAATATTATTTTAAACAAGATATGTTTGTAAAACATGTATGCCCCCTATCAGCAGCCAATTAGTCATGTGATAAGGTTATTATGCATGACTTCTGACCCAGTGATCAAACAATTAATAAAGGTTATAAAGTATCTACTGGTCATGACTTTGACCCCTTGACCCAAAACTCAATAGGGGTCATCTGCTGGTCACGACCAATCATCATACAAAGTTTGAAGTTCCTAGGCCTAGGCGTTTTTTAGTAAATTGATCAGAAACCGTTTTTACCTACAAGGTCAATGTGACCTTGACCTTTGAACCCCTTGACCCCAAAATCAATAGGGGTCATCTGCTGGTCATGACCAATCACCATGCCTAGGTTGAAGTTCCTAGGCCTAAGGGTTCTCTTATTATTGATCGGAAACCGTTTTAACATACAAGGTCAATGTGACCTTGACCTTTGACCCCAAAATCAAGAGGGGTCATCTGCTGGTCATGACCAATCACCATGCCAAGTTTGAAGTTCCTAGGCCGAAGCGTTCTTTAGTTATTGATCAGAAACCGTTTTTACTTACAAGGTCATTGTGACCTTGACCTTTGGGCTTAATCCCAAAATCAATAGGAGTAATCTGCTGGTCATGACAAATCACCATACCAAGTTTGAAGTTCCTAGGCCTAAGTGTTCTTGAGTTATTGATCAGAAACCGTTTTTACTTACAAGGTCAATGTGACCTTGACCTTTGACCCCTTCACCTAAAACTCAATAGGGGTCATCTGCTGGTCATGACCAATCATCACACAAAGGTTGAAATTCCTAGGCCTAAGCGTTTTTAGTAAATTGATCTGAAACCGTTTTTACCTACAAGGTCAATGCGACCTTGACCTTTGACCCCTTGACCCCAAAATCAATAGGTCATCTACTGATCATGACCAATCACCATCTCAAGTTTGAAGTCCCTAGGCCTAAGGGTTCTTTCATTATTGATCGGAAACCGTTTTTACCCACAAGGTCAATGTAACCTTGACCTTTGACCCCTTAACCCCAAAATCAATAGGGGTCATCTGATTGGTCATAACCAGTCACCATACCAAGTTTGAAGTTCCTAGGCCTTAAGGTTCTTTAGTTATTGATTGGAAACCGTTTTTACCTACAAGGTTAATGTGACCTTGACCTTTGACCCCTTGACCCCAAAATCAATAGGGGTCATCTACTGATCATGACCAATCACCATACTAAGTTTGAAGTTCCTAGGCCTTAAGGTTCTTTAGTTATTGATCGGAAACCGTTTTTGCATTAAAGGTCAATGTGACCTTGACCTTTGACCCCTTGACCCCAAAATAAATAGGGGTCATCTACTGATCATGACCAATCACCATACCAAGTTTGAAGTTCCTACGCCTTAAGGTTCTTTAGTTATAGATCGGAAAGCGTTTTTGCTTTCAAGGTCAATGTGACCTTGAACTTTGACCCCTTGACCCCAAAATCAATAGGGGTCATCTACTGGTCATGACCAATCACCATACCAAGTTTGAAGTTCCTAGGCCTTAAGGTTCTTTAGTTATTGATCGGAAACCGTTTTTGCTTTCAAGGTCAATGTGACCTTGACCTTTGACCCCTTGACCCCAAAATCAATAGGGGTCATCTACTGATCATGACCAATCACCATACCAAGTTTGAAGTTCCTAGGCCTTAAGGTTCTTTAGTTATTGATCGGAAACCGTTTTTGCTTACAAGGTCAATGTGACCTTGACCTTTGACCCCTTGACCCCAAAATCAATAGGGGTCATCTACTGATCATGACCAATCACCATACCAAGTTTGAAGTTCCTAGGCCTTAAGGTTTTTTAGTTATTGATCGGAAACCGTTTTTTGCTTTCAAGGTCAATGTGACCTTGACCTTTGACCCCAAAATCAATAGGGGTCATCTACTGGTCATGACCAATCACCATACCAAGTTTGAAGTTCCTAGGCCTTAAGGTTCTTTAGTTATTGATCGGAAACAGTTTTTGCTTTCAAGGTCAATGTGACCTTGACCTTTGACCCCTTGACCCCAAAATCAATAGGGGTCATCTACTGGTCATGACCAATCACCATACCAAGTTTGAAGTTCCTAGGCCTAAGGGTTCTTTAGTTATCACTCGGAAACCATTTGGTCTACGGACCGACGGACCGACAGACCGACGGACCGACAAGTGCAAAGCAATATACCCCCTTTTCTTCGAAATGGGGGCATAATTAATGGGGCACTGACGATAGAGAAAAATTATCTTCATATGGACATGTTTGGGACTTCCAATCAATCAATGACTTGTGAGAGGGAAACTTCAAAAGAGTTTGTTGTTTGACATGCAGTTCTTAATAATATTCAACAGAATCAATTTTTTTATATTATAACCAGTATAAATATTATAACGAACCACTTAAAAATTACTGGATCTATATAAATTCAATAATAGTTTTTGATAAATAATTCAATGATTTTTTTTTCCTCATTGATACTTATCAGCCTGAAAAAACTACAGAAAAATAGCAGTGATTTTTCTCTTCATATAACAGAGGCATATTAAAGGCCTCTTCCCAATTGGTATATCCCTACTCTGAGTCTGACCTTTTATTTGAATAACAATATAACCATACACATTGACATATAGAATTAGATGCTCTTTTTGATAACAAATATGTTGTGGTGAAATTCTTATTGTATCCACTAATCTGATAATTAGAATTAGACAGGTCAGGGATCTATGCATGGAAACTTTCTTTAAAAGCATGCAGTTTTCCCAAAAAAATCTTATCTTAAGCCTGCTTTTTAAATTCCCAAATCAGCATTTTAAGTAATGTTTCTTCAAAAATCAAGAGGCTAAGGCCTCTTAACAATTAAGCAAGAAAAACCACTGTTTAACATGGAGCTAAATATACATACATCTGTGTTATTGGGAATCTTCAACTGACAAAAATTTCTGCAATTATCTCAACACTACATACATGTATATACACAACAGAACGCGATGACTTTATACAATGTACATTGTATTTCATGGACATCAGTAAATACATTGTCTACTGTGATAATAGGCGTCTATGGATACCAATAAAGTGTCAAAAATATCAATAATAAATGATTGACAGAGAGTAAACACCATGTCGATTGTAAACAAATACATGTACAAACACAGCTTGTATGTATATATATTAAAATGACAATAATGCTCATTTTTACTTTGTCAAATTTGGAAAAAAATGTTTTTTTATGCATTTTTTCAGCTACCAATAAGATTAGTCATCATAAATAATGATAGCTAATGAACAGCTTCCACTGTCCAGGTAGAACTATTGAGTGGTGATTTATATGAATATGTTGGATTTAAATGACTTCTGGGAAATCACTTGGCTTGTGGGAATTTTGAACAGCCATTTTAGGAATTTAAACATTGGAAATTTTGATGTCCATTTTTCTATTGGGAACAGTACCGTTTAGCGGGTAGTAGTAAATATAAAGACAAAAAACACTGAACACACAAACCTTTTCTGGATCATCAGGGTTTTTGTCTGGGTGGTATTTTAATGCCATTTTTCTGTATGCCTTTTTAATTTCATCTGGTGTGGCTGTGGGTTTGACGCCCAGCATATCATAGTACCTCAGTTTCCTTCACCATCCTTGATTAAATCTAGTTAAAAGAAACAAAAATTTGAATTATTTAGTTCATTGCAACAACCAACAATTATGATTATCATTTTCTTCAGGATACTATCTGTGAAAACCAAAAAATAGTTTAGTAAAATATCATTTTGTCTACCCATTGTTCCAGGTTTCAGTGATTTTTCACCCTGTATTTTACAGCCAAATAAAGGCTGTTTCCCCTAGCTCAAAATAGGTATATTTACCCCTAAACATAGCTATTATAAGTAGTAATATTTTCCCCTCTAATGCCCTGTGCACTTCTTCACCAGAACCATTACTTGACAGCATCTGACTTACTATATCAGCTAGAAGTCAGAAAGCTGTCCCTATAGCCTCTGCTATGTACCATGTATGTTAGATTGTATTGAAATTAAATTTTTTCATAAAATGTGTGGGTGAATTCCATTCTCAGTTGTTGGAATTTGGTTTTCCCCTTTTCCGATTAATCACACTATATTTTCTCCTTCAGAAAGCCACATGTTGTTTTGAAAATTGGAAAAAAATCACTGGGATTTTTTCCTAGTATTTTTGGAACATGGCCCATACCTTTGGGGATTGGGAATTGTAGCAGTGTTTTTGCTAAAAATTGCAAAAAAAAATGTTTTCAAAATTTCCAATAATGTTTAATGAAAACAAAGATTCAATGTCTATCATGGTAACTTTCAATCACAACAAGCTGTCTTCACACTTATATCTCTTTGTTCTAATTTTATATGGAATTTTAAATTGTTCAATAATACCTGCTCAACTCGGCATCGTGTAGAGAACACTTGTGTTTCTATGGTTAGACACAAATCCTCAATGTGAGATTCAAGTGAATGTTTGGGGCTTCCTTCTTAATACTTGCCAGTATTGTGCCCTTGATGATACTGCGTTGTCCAACAAGTTTTTTGTGGCCTTTTGCAAAATCACCATGTCCATTTCAATTTACCAAGTTAAGATTGTTCACCTTTAAATTAAGTTTACCACCACCAATGAAAACTTTGTTTATATCTGTTGAATGAGAACAACTTACAAAGTTTCAACATTAAATCCCCCCCTGCAAAGCTGTAAAACAGCCAGGAACTTCTCCTCAATAAATTTTCCAGAACCTTAAAAAAAATTCTTTGGGTCTGGAAACTGGCAACAGATCCTTCCAGTGTCAGACTAAAAGGAGGGATTTATATTGTTTGTTTTGCATGTAAGATTGAATATAATTAACAAACAGATGCAATAAAAAAATTTTCAACGAGTGGCGTAGCCACGAGAGTAAATAATATAGCTGTTCAGGAATGAAATATATTTAATTTATATGGTAAAACAAACAAATTTTCTTTTTTATTTCATGCTTTTCAGAGTGATTTTCAATATTTCCTTACTGATTTTTGACGTGTAACGTCGCGCATTTCTCCTTCGTGACATCATCACATTATGACGTCACATCATCAATTTTGAAAGTTCCGTTAAATTTCTCTAATTTTGTTAAATTTGTTCTAACATGGATGTTTGAATGATATCGATTTTCTTTCCTAAAGAAGCAAAAATTACGTATGACAGCATTTATTTCTGCCTTTCCATTCTCATTTAGTTTTTGATTTTCTTTTCATCCCGCATTTCAGATATAGTCGGCTGCAGTGAAAACTAGAACTGCCACTAATCATGGCGTGAATACCCCCGCATACCACTTATTGTTCAGAAATCAACAGTGAGGACATTTAGAGCTCAAGGACAAACTCCTCCAAATCTGAGGTTACTAAGGCCAGTGCATTGCTAAGTTATGTATTCTACATGCTTTCAAATGTGACAAATGTCAAAATCAATACATTGCGGACAGTGGACATTTCTTTAGCAATTGAGAAGAAAAGCTTTTTTTTGTCAGGTCCCTGTGACCCTTGACCTTTGACCCAGTGACCTCAAAATCATAGGGGTCACCTTAATAGTCATGATAAAAAAAAAACCATAGCCAAATAATGAAGACTGTGGGGTCAAAGGAATCTTTAAGTTAATGGGTGGGACAAACTTTTTTGAAGTCAAAGTCCCTATGACCTTGACCTTTGATCCAGTGAACCTCAAAATCAAAAGGGGTCATTCTCGACTAATCATGATCAACATCCATGCAAATATGAAGACTGTGTGGGTCAAAGGAATCTAAAGTTATTTGGCAGACAAACTTTTGAAAAGTCAAAGTCCCTGTGACCTTGAACTTTGACCTGGTGATCAAATCAATAGGCGTCATCTACTAATCATGACTGCTCCCCATACCAAATATGAAGACTGTGGGTCAAAGGAATCTTAAGTTATAGGGGACAAGCTTTTTGAAGTCAAAGGCCCCGTGACCTTGACCTTTGACCTGGTGAACCTCAAAGTCGCTAGGGGTCAATCTAAATTAATCATGAACTAACCTCCATGCCCAAATTATGAAGACTTAGGGTTCAAAAAGGAATCTTTAGTTTTTGGGAACCAAGGCTTTTTTTGAAGTCAAGGTCCCTTGTGGGACCTTGGACCTTTTGACCTGGTTACCTCAAAAGTCAATAGGGGTCATATTACTAATTCATTGAAAACCTCCATGCCAAAATAATGAAGACTGTATAAAGGAGTTTAAGTTATAGGGCGGACAAAAGCTTTTTTGAAAGTCAATGGCCCTCTGGTGAAACCTTGGACCTTTGAACCTAGTTTGAACCTCAAAAAACAAAGGTACTACTAATCCATGACTAACCTCCCATGCCAAAATATGAGACTGGTAAAGGTCAAAAAGAAATCTAAAATTATTGGGCGGACAAAGCTTTTTGAAAGTCAAGGGCCCGTGACGTTTGCACTTTGACCCTAGTACCCAAAATCAATAGGGGTCATTTCTACTAATCATGACTAACCTTTCCCATGCCCCAAATATGAAGACTGTGGGTCCCAAAGAAATCTTAAGTTATTGGGCGGACAAGAAAAAACCGAGGCCGGGACGGGCCGTAACGGAACGGTTAAGAGGACAGCAGCCGGACGGGACAAGCTGATTTCCAGTATACCCCCCCTTACAACTTTGTGTGCGGGGTATAATTTATTTCAATAAATTTCACTAGTGGGTTTAAATCAAAATATAACATCTGAATATACTATCAAAAAAAACTGGAAAGCATGAAATAAAATCAAGAGCTAAAATTATTTTTCACTGAAGACAGATTTCAAAAATTTCCGCCTTCTGTTGTCTTTTGAAGATTTCGTCAATCATGGTGAAATTGAAAATAAATGTAAGTTCAGTCAAAAAATAATGCTCTGTTAGTCTGACACTGAAGCATTTCTGGTGCAGTTCCAGAACCAAAAAATTCGGGAAGTGAAACATTCTGAGTGAACCGTTTTGGGAGTTGAAAGTGTCTAGCTTTGATCGGTTCTAGGATTTCATGATAATTTAGGGACAGTCCTGTAAAAATTAATGGAAACCATCTACAATTTTGTTTATAAAAAAAATTTTTTAAATTTGTATGCCCCTAAATTTATTGACATTAAATACAAAAATTGTAAAAGTTATATTAAAATCAAAACCACAGTTAAAAGAAGATATGATTTATGAAAATGTTAATGTAAGAATAATAAGATTAAGAACAATTTGTAGTCCCAAATAATTTGAAACTTAACCACCGGATTTGAAGCTATTTTTGTGGGGCAAAACCGCTTTTAAAAAACGTCTAAAGATATTAAATTTAAAAGCGTCCTCCATAAGCAAAATGAAAAACAATAAAATGCACAATCCACTTTACCAAAGTCTTCAATGTTAAAAGTATTTTTTTTTTTTAAAAAATTCTTTGAGTTATTAATACAATTGATTAAATCTAAAACAATTTTATTTTCCGAAAAGTATTCCATTATCTACAAATTAACTTATTCAAATTTTAAACAATTTTAAAAATTTTTCCCCCTGGTAAAATTTGGCGTAAATAGCCTCCATATTGGGGTGTTACTAGCAAATGTGGGTGATTATGGGAACCATATTTTTTAGACTAAAAATTTTTACTGAGCGACCCGGTCCTGCGTCTTAAACCAAAAAAAATTTTCGTTCATGACTAATTTCGTACTATTGTTTTTTGAGTACGTCACAGAATGATCGGGAATTAGCCAATATATGGGGGCACCGAAAAGTCTTTCATGTGTCTTCGTTAAAATATGGACTATAACAAGCAATTATCATAGTATTGCAAGCAATCCATAAGTCGCCCTACGGTTAAGAACCCCTCGAACATTCTGAGGGGCCATTGGCCATTCACTAATGTTTCAATTTTTTCTCTATTTTTAAACATTGGTTGGGAAAAGTTCTTTAAAAGTGATCAAGAAACATTTTTATGAAAGACAGATCAACCCTGAAGACACTCTAAATTAATTACTTTGAAACTCCCTGTCCTCAAAATATAACATTTTTAAAAGCAAAATTTCTTAAAAGGAGATAAACTCTTGAATTAAAGATGCTTTATAAAAATTTCAGCTCTTTTTGACTTATCACAAATATTTTATATGTTGCCCACTGTTTTAAGCCTATTTGTTGGCTTAAGGCAACCAATATTTTTTCAAAACAGGAAAAAGATAAGACATACATAATACCAACTGCCATCTACCCATGTCAAGTTTATAAAAATATTTCCAGATTTTTGAGTTATCACTCGGATTAGTTTATGTGTAAAAATTTGACATATTTTCAGTCTATGTGTTGCCATAGCAACCAGAATTTTCAACATAAGACGTGCATAATCTAAAGTCCCCTCCGGTAAACCGGTAGGGAGACTAATAAACTAGCTTACGTGAGTAATTATTGCATATTTACAGTTTTTGTGAAAATATGCTTTCGTCTTTTATGCAATCAATTGCTTTTATTGACTTATAAAAAGATTTAATAGTGATTTTTACCGGTAAATTCAAATCGACTCG